AAGGTCAATAACCAAAAGACTGTCTCATTAAGAATGGGAAGGTTCACATTCAACAGGCTGGTACACTAGCAAGTACAAAAAAAAAAAAGAGATAGAGAGAGAGAGCAACATTTGGGACATAGAAGAAACACCATCACAGACTCCCCCCTCTTTTCGAATCCTCCTTGGCAACACCTTTCAGCTTATAGTCTCCTTTCTCCAGCTGTGCATTCACCCCCTTAAGTCGGGCGTTATCTTCCTTCAAAATATCTCTCTCGTTCCATCTTCGCCAATTTTTTCTTAAGGGTTTCCACCTCAATCTCCTCACCAAATGAACCCACCTCTAGACCGCCAGAAGGAACATTTGAATCACAGAAAAAGGAAGGCGTGAGTTGGATCCAAGTAGAACTTCCCCCTATCCCATAATGAACAAGGTTTTGAGGGGTGACGAGGGTAGAGTAGGGAAAGGAAGAGGCTTTCTCGACCATGAGAAACATTGAATGCCTCTAGCGGAGTTAAGCCTGGAATACCTACATAACACGATGCCAACAAAAATGGGGTCAACATGGTACCTACCAATGGAGTTTGGCTGACTAAAAATCGACTGGAAGAGTTTACCCCTCTCCTGAAGGCTTCCCTAAGATCAAGGGACCCAGACAGGATAGTCTCTCCCCACAGTAGGCTCCTAAGAGTCCCCGGAGACAAAAAAAAAGTGTTTGGTCCATCCCTTAGGGAAAAGGGAATGTCAGCAACCAACAGTGGGTGAACGTACCACTTAAAAGAGAGAGAGAGCTGAAAAAAGGAGGAAAGTCGAAGGATAGGTCAAGGAAATAGAAGAACTCAGAGATAGTAGGGAAGGTCTCAAAGCCTTGCATACGTCAGAAAATTAAGAAGCTAACCAAGGCAGCCTACCCCCCAGAAGAGAGCCTAGAGGGACACATGTTGTGATGGGAGAAAACTCAAACAAAGTCTCGATAGAGGGAGAGACAGAGGCCACATTCAAATGCCCCCTCAAAGAAGACAACTTCACCTGGGGATGACATGTTTCAAGGCTCATCAGGGGTAGGAGCTCTAACCCTAGACCCGCAGGGAAATCATACTGACTTTTTATGTCGTCAACATCCGCTGCAGAAAGCGTAGATAGAAGAAGGGAAGAAAGGCATACATAGTAAAGCGCTAGAAATAGAAGGGAACCAGAGACAAGGATGTCCTAAGTTGCCAAAAAGTCTAGAGCAAGACGCTTCAAAAGCCTAGAGAAGGAGAGGAGCATGAAGGAAGACGGGACTCGAAACCACCAAATAAAAAGACCAAGGGACCTTTCCCCCGTAATGAATGTATGTATATGTATGTGTGAGGTATTTAATTTGTGACAGGAAAATGACAGGACACGCCACACAAGCCGTACCCCGAACATATCCGATAGTGACACGTGTGTACTACCATCCCATCATCACCGACAAACAAAGGTGCAGCCCAATCCTGATCAGGGCTAATAGCCGAGCATAGTCGCAGCCTGAAGAGCCCATGGAGAGCCCTAAAAAATCATTTTTTTTAACCCCAGACCAAAGATGACGACATCCTCCTGACCTGGGGCTGGGGGGCAACTGAGATGGACGAAATTCAAGGATTGGGCCTCCATAGCTCAGGAGCCTAACGAGGCCAAAGGGCCAGGAGCAAAAAAAAAAAGGACCCAACATCAGCAGAAGTCTTATAACCTAGCAATCTAGGCCCAATTCAATTAATGAGCATCCCAAGGGTTGAAGGCCTAGTCCAAATGTCATTTTTGGTTACTCGTGGGGGACCACGTATCCTAAGGGTCCAGGGGACCACTTTTGACAACTACGATAGTCTCAGAGCAGAGGTGGAGCACCAAGCCACTAGAGATGGTGGCAACAGCAGCGCCGGATGAACAGTGGCGACGATGGCAAAAGAAGCTGCAGGGCGCAGAAGGAAGGACTTATGGGATCATCACAACCAAAAACCCTAAGAAAATCTAGAAAATGGTCACCGAACAAGGGGGCTCTCTCTTCTTCCTCCCACAAGCATTCAAGAGTTAAAGAAAAACCAAAAGAGAAAAGCTAAATACTCATCCCTTGTAGAGGACTTCAGGTCCCCAATTCCTCTGTATACACCTCCGATTGAATAATATACAAACTCAGGGAGCAAGAGACTCTATTGATAGTGGAAATAGACTTAGTCTACCGGCTAAGGTGAACCACTTACATTTCCCGCCTAATTGTGCACTAAAATCAATCTATAATTCACGTAATCTACCTAGAACGCCACCACCATACCCATTGAGCTTGGGCTGCAAATTCTGAGAACCATCACTACTCATGAAATTTTATTAACAATAAAGACTATTTCTTTACTTACAATAGATAGCTCTATTAAAATTGTTTAAAAAATTTGACTCTTTAGTTTAATTTTTATCAAAGACACGGTCTCTTTAAACAAAATGTTCTCTATATAGAGAATCCAATATTTAATGTTACGATCTCATATTAATTAAAAATTAAATTAAATCTATATATATAAAACTCTTAGGTACCATTTCCTTATAATCTGATTTTCAGCAAAAGTTGTATTCATGGGTCATAACAATTGGTATCAAAGCTAGCCTCTACGTCAAGTAAGAGGTCGAACGCAGTGTGAACTGTGGCTCTCTGTGATCGAGTCACAGAAAGTGCAACCTACTAGATTAAGATGACTTGCTAATATGTATGCGTATAATTTTATCTCATTGAATACTAATAAGTGAGTTGAGTCGCCAAAAAAAAATAAAAAATAAAAAAAGCTACTGTTGGATCAATATCGAGAGTGAGCCATTATAAACATTAGCTATAGAAACGTGATGGAATATTACGATAAAAATAGGAAAAGATGTGTATATAAATTTTTAGAAACCTTTCTCTTATAATTCAGTTTTTAAGGACAAATTTTAACGATGAGTTCATAACATTTAACGACTGTTCCCCATTTCAATATAAGGTGGGACTATTCTTATCCCTTAAATCTTTTTTTTTTTTACCCCATTTAATCATCTTATTTTAAATTATTAAGTTCACCCCATCTATACGCACCACATTAGTTACTAAATTCATCTCATTTATACTCATTCAATTAAACTATTAAATATATGTTAAAGAAATCGAAACAAAAATAGTAATTAAGTAAAATTTCAATATTCTGATATGATTTATAATATTTCGAGGTGTTTTAAGATATTTTGATATATTTTCACCAATGTCTTTAGAATAATTTGAGTTGTTTTAAGATATTTTGGTATATTTTGACTAATATTTTAAAAATAATTATTAATTTTTTATTAATTTTTATTATGTTTCTGAAATATTTTCGTACTAAAATAATATAACGAAATGAAATATTGATCATTATCCATATATTAGGTTGAAATAAAATTGAATAAAATTAATTTTTAATTAGTGAACTTAAACGAGGTGTCTAAAAAAAAAATATAGGCAGGGTGAGTTTAATAATTAATGATGTAGGTATAGATGGGGTAAATTTAGTAGATTAAAATACAATGATTAAATGGGGCGGAATTTTTTTTTAGAGAGAATTATACTCAAATCCCTTGAAATTTGTCATTTAAATCCCTTGACATTTAAAATATTATATATAGACCTCTTGAGGTTTATACACGTGTAACACTTAGACCCCTATCGTCAATGTCCATTAGTACATCGATTAGTAAATTATATTCAAACTTCCTGAAGTTTATTGACGTAAAATACCTAAATCCCTCAAGTTTAAAATGTTATTCTTATACCAAAAATACATCAAGTAAAGATAAAATATCAAATATTTTAAATTTTACATCCAAAATTCATGTCCATCATAGTTTGATTCCTTATTTATTTTTTAATTTTATTCCAATAAATAGTATAATTGTATACTAATTATGATTTTTTAAGAAAAAATTAGAATTTTATTTTTGATTTTATTTCAATAAATGACATAATAGAACATGAATTTTAGTTGTAAGATTCATGTTCTATTATGAATAACTTAGACTCCTTATTTGATTTTTTTTAGTTTTATTTCAATAGATAGTATAATTGTATATTAATTACGATTTTTAATAAGAAATTGACTTTTATTTGTTATTTTATTTTAATAAATGATAAAATAAAACATAAATTTTAGTTGTAAAATTTAAAATATTTTATATTCTATTTTTGATTAGAGTATTTTTTGTCTAAGTATAATATTTTAAATTTGAAGGTCCAAATTTTATACGCATAACAACTTCAAGAGATTCGTGTGTCATTTATTGACGAATATACTAACGGACATTTGATTGCAGGAATTTAAGTGTTACGGACGTACAAACTTTAAAAAGTCTACATATAATATTTCAAATATCAAGGAGACTTTTTAAAGTTTACATATAATATTTCAAATATCAAGGAGTCTCAAAAATTTAGGGAGAATAGCCCACCCTATAACTACTGTTCTTCATTTCTAACATGAACAATGATATACAACTTAAATAAAATTTAAAAAATTATAATTAAAATACATATTACTTTTTAAATAAGTGCATCCTATCTATTTTTTTCAACGAGACTCGCTCGTTCAACAGAGATGATATATATTTTCCTTCCGACCCATCAAATCCAACTATTTCTCTCTCCGTCTCTCTCACACACACACACTCACACTCACACTCGCTCTCTCTCTCTCTCTCTCTCTCTCTCTGGTCTCCACACACTATGCATCGGCTCCACTTCTAGTACAGTGCATTACAAATCTTCCAGGTATTCAGTCATTTTATCTTTGAGGTTTCCTACCCGGATATTCTTTTTTTCTATAATCATTTTCACCTGAATCTCATGCTGCTTTGGTTTCTTTAATCTTGTGATTTATTGGAGTTACTGATTTTTCTTAAATGCGAATAGAACTATATCTGGATCCGTTGGTTTGCTGTGAAATTGGCTTTATAGCTTCTCCGATGTTGCTGTGAGAAATTCGCGGTTGAGTTATGGAGAAAGAGTAGAACAGTCATTTTCTCCGTCGGCAACGTTAAGGGTTAGACTATAATCCAAAATCGGTCTGACTATCAAACGAAGAGAAAAGGATACTTCCGAGGATGCTTCCAAGTCAACGGCCGAGTCCTTGAAATAGCTTATTGAAAGCCCAAAGTTCTCCACACTCTCTCTCTCTCCTCATTCTCCACTATTGTCTTTAATTCGTTCTAATTGTTTACCATCTCCACATACGTGCAGGATCATTACGCTTCCAATCCCTCCCACCAACAAGAAGAACAGGAACATGATGAAGACAGAAGAAGCTAAGGAGTATATTAAGCAGATTCGGGAAGAATATAATTACTACCAGATCCACTATAACGCCAAGAAGACATATGGACGAATTGTGAGAATTCTGGATCGGGTACTTGCTATTCTGGAACAACCAGAATTGATGGAAGCAGCTGAGACTTTTGCGACTGAGGCGTTGGAACTCACTCGAGTAGTGGATTCTCTCTGCTATCCTTTTTCTAACAAAAGGACGGAAAAGCCCTTTTTCCCTCGTGCCTCGCCTTCCGCTGTGGACGACTTCATCATCAGCTTTAACCCCATTGAGACACGGTTCGAAAAGCTCATCGCAAACAGAGCAGCTACCCTTGAGCAGTGGCATATTCAGGAATTGCTTGATGTTTTTAGCATGGTTGACCAATTTGACTCCGGAAAGAATCCTGCTCAACGCTTTAGAATACTGAGTCAGGTTCTTGCCAATATTCTGGAACTACGAGAAGAAGTGGGAGCAGCTGAGACTTTTGCGATTCAGGCGTTTGAGCTCACCCGAAAAGTGGTTGATCTCTGGCATAAATTATGTCTAGAGACGGGGCGAGATTTCATTTCGCCGTCCGATGTACGCGGCTTCTGTATTCGCATTGAGCCCATTGAGGATCAGATCAAAGACCTCATTTGTAGGGAAACTGGAATTGGTCCACCTATGGGACACGATGGGCCACTTGTTGGCTTAGAGGAAGATGTGCAGCTTCTTACTGCACAATTGGTCACAGACAATGCAGACCGCGGGGTGGTATCAATTGTTGGGAGACAAAGTATAGGGAAAACAACTCTTGCCCAGAAGGTCTACGACAGTGCCGTTGTGCACAAACATTTTGATTGCCATGCCTGGGTGAGCGTACATCAGGACCTAGATATCAGATCAGTTCAACTAAAAATAGCGGTGCAAGTTATTCCGTTCAAAAAACTGGACAAAACAAGGCCCGTGGAGGAGCTGTTAGCCGAATTCTTGGTGCGTAATAAATATCTCATAGTTTTGGATGACATACAGACACCTGAAGACTGGACTATCCTTGAACAAAGACTACCAGTCGGATCTTCCGGTGGTAGAATCATGATCACGACTTGCAACAGGAAGCTATTAGTACATGATGACCCATATTTTGTTCTTGAAAAGCAGGCATTAAGTGATGAAGAGGGCTGGGAGTTATTCAATGCCAGGGTAGGTTCTAGTATCCCTACTGAGTTGGAAGACATTGGGAGAGAAATTGTGATGAAGTGCACGGGCTTGCCTTTGATCATTTGTGAATGGGCAGACAAATTATCAAAGAGAGAAGCCACCAAGGAGCAGTGGTATTTCGCAGTAGAGGAGATTAATCAAGACCAAAAACTACTGTACCGCACCTTAAAAGATGCTGCTGATAAGTTAGACCCAAATTCAAAGAAATGCCTTTTTTGTTTTGATCTTTTCCGTCAAGACTATGAAGTTCCAGTGAGAAGAGTGATTGCATATTTGGTTGCCGAAGAATCTGTTCAGGAAAAAACAGACACAATAGAACCACCAGAACGTGTTGCTAAGGAGCTTCTAATGAAATTAGTAGAACAAAACTTGATCACGGTGGCAAATAAGAAGCTCGGCAAAGCAAAAACATGTCGTATACACCATCTCTTGAGGGATAATTGGTTGTCAAAAGCCAAGGAAGCTAACTCTAGTCCTGTTAACAGCAAAGGAGCTGCCTCTAAGTCTTCCTGCAGCACAGGTATGGTCCTCCGACTAGCTGATCATCTTGACAACGAGGATGAGTGTTTCCCACACATTCATGGCAACAATACCAAAAGTAGTTCCTTAAAAAAAAATTATCGAGAGCTCCATTCCTTTATATCCTTTGATTCTCGTGAAGGGCCTCTACCTGGAGAAGAAATAGGCAACTTTTTTCATAAATGCATTGCTGTGGGATGTTTCAAGAAGTTGCGAGTAGTTGATCTTGAAGGTGTATTTCGGCCTAAATTACCTGAATCCATAGGGAAATTGACTCAGCTGAGGTATCTGGGCTTGAGATGGACTTATTTACAAGCACTTCCTTCATCAGTAGGCAAGTTGTTGAACATTCAAACACTAGATTTAAAGCGCACTTACATCAGCAGCCTCCCCGCTTCCTTGTGGAAGTTGCAACAACTACGTCATCTATACTTGAGTGAATTTTTTCGTTGCAGATTTGTGCCTCCACCAAAGAACTGCATGCTAATGGACCTCCAAACATTATGGGGAGCATATGTGAATGAAGAGACCCCAATCAAAGATGGTTTGGACCGGTTGACAAATCTTAGAAAGTTAGGCCTAGCATTTAGATTAACTCTTTCAGAGCAGAAATCACTGGTGGACTGGATTGCGAAACTGAACGACCTCGAATCGTTAAGGTTGAGATCACTTGATGTTGAACATTCAGACATATGCTTAGAGCCATTGTCAGACATCAAGAAGCTTTCGAGCATATATTTGGTTGGAAAGTTAGTGAATCCAGATATCGTGCACCACTTCCCTGAAAGTCTTACTGAGATTACCTTGTCTTTGTCAGGACTAAGAGGAGATCCTATGCCTAACTTGGAAAAACTTCCAGATTTAAGGATCCTTAGATTACATGCAGGCTCGTATTGTGGGAGAAAAATGGTTTGTTCTTCTAGAGGCTTTCCTCTACTTCGCATCTTGAAACTTTGGAAGCTAGAGGAATTGGAAGAGTGGACAGTGGAGGAAGGAGCTCTGACAATTCTAAAAGAAGTAGAGATTAGATCCTGCAATAAATTGGAAATGATTCCAGATGGGTTGAAACACCTGCTTCACTGTCGTGAATTAATTATAACAAATATGCCTGACGAATTCAAAGCAAGGATTACTGAAAGTCAGGGGAAAGATTGGCATAAGATTGCACATGTACCTTCCATCATTGTGAGAGATTTATATTGCAAAACAACTGGTCTTGCCCGTGTGAGGTAAGTCTTTCTATTTCTGCACCTTTGCTTACACCTTTGTGTTCTACTTCTGCTTTGTATATCTAGTTAGTTTTTGTGCAAGTTATCTGTTGATGGTGTTCAATCTTTCCTTTTAATCCCTAATGCCTTGAATTTTCAGTCTTTGGCGTTCTAGCTGTTGTTTCAGTGATTCTGATTAAACTGGCAAAACTTTTCAGCGGAATGTGATATTTCTCGACATCTAAACTAGGCTTTGGGGCCAGCACGCTCGGAGGAGATAGCGAAGGATATTCATTCTAATCTCCTGTTCAGTATCAACCATTGGTTCTACTTTTGAATATCATGTCGTGTTTCTCTGGTCATTAGTTTACTTCTTGATCTTTTGTTAACACGTCCAAAATTGCTTATGTTACCTACAAGAAATGGCTTGACTCTTGAGTATGTGGTAGTGAAAAGTGTGTTTCTTACAATTTTTTTTAATAAAACAAGTTGCTTGTTTGATAGGACAACCTTTTGTCCTCTTTGTTTTGTAGAATTTTGCTTCAGTTGCCTTAATCTAATGATCTGGATCCTGTTAACGTATATGTTTGGCTTGAAATATGGGGAATGAAATCATTGATGCAAGTTCATTTCATCAAACTTCAATTGGGTGAACCTTAGTATTTTTACTAGCATTTGGAGAGTGAATTACTCTGAGAAAAGACACTCAACATTATTACACATAAAAAGGTCCATTACTATAGCTAGAGTGGATCAGTATTAGTTGGATTAGATTGATGTCGTTGGACAACTTATAATTCAGGAACAACTTTATTTTTTCTCGGTGCAGAATTTAAAATTCAATCATACATGACATAATTATTTAAAGTTTAATCAATGTTTTCATTTTCCACGTAGTTCCAATAGTATGAGAAATATAACTGATTTTTCTGCTCTTTTCACCTTTTGTAATTTTTTTCATGTGAAGCTTTTAATTTGGAGTTCTATGGTACTAATCTTGTTGAAATACATTTTAACAGAATTAATGGAACATTGGGCATGGACAGAAAACCTAGTTATTATGGCAGAAGAGCTATATCTTTACTTTTTCTGTGGCATTTTTTTCTAGCTATCTACTGGTGTATTATAGTTAGAAATAACTTCTATTCATTATGAATCGCAAGCTCAAGGTATTTCAGTTATATGTTTCAACTTTATGGAATGCACAAAAAATTCCATCTTTGAGAATATATATATATATATATATATATATATATATATATATATATATATATATATATATATATATTTTAATTTTATCTCCCTTCCTTGTTTTCCTATTTCTTTCGAAAACCAGGCAATACTTACTCTTAGTTTGCCATGTCAAATGGTGTTCAAGGCTTCAATGTTCTATGTAAGCCTTCCTTCCTGCTTGAACCATGTTTTCTCCCACACAAACACAATTACATGATCATTTCCTAACATGGAGAAGAGAAAAAGAGCACAAGGAAATAAATACATAAAGAAAAAGAAAGGAAATAAAAATGAACATAATGAAATTAAGGAATAAGTATTGGCATCATTTGATTTTTTTTTTGGTTGGGTTTAATTGTTATAGATTCAGAAAATTTTGCAAAACTTCTTTGATAGTTAGGTTAGCCTTCCGAGCAAATTATGGGTTATTTTAGTGGGAGAAAATTCTAGTGCAGGTATATAACAATATTAATCAGAATTACAATCCCCGATGACGAATCTTAATCACTCCACTTTTGCTTTGAAAGCAATCTGTTAGTCATATGGCGTAGGCTAGGACATAGAGACAGTGTATTTTGCTACTACAATTCCACTTCATAGTTTGGCGTGTTCATAGCTTGCAGTCCTGTTTGCTGCCCCTCATGCCTTCTTTTCCCCTTTATGCTATGATTTCTCTTCAATCAAGGGGCTGAATTACGAAAATGAAAGGCCTACAAGGTGTGGTTTTTAGCATTAAAAAAACTGGATTGGCTTGAGAGTAACTGAGTTAAAGAACAGGGGACATAACAGGGGAAAGAATTTTGCAAAAAGTTCTGTAAAGTTGTTGCTGCTCCGGTGATACAGTTTCTGATTTGTTGGGGCTTAGAGTATAACCGAGAAGTCCTCCCTACATGCAACCTGATTAATACTCTCTACTGAACTGTACGGATATTCCCACTCCCCATTTTTGCTTGAATTTCCTTTCAAAAAATTTCGAGTAAATTCCTATAGCCATATCATGGTTGATCTCGCGAGCCATCTCTAATGTTTGTATGTAGGAATAGGGAAGACGACTCTTGCCAAAAAAGTTTATGACAATCCCTAGATTTTCCCTAGCCATGCTTAAGCTACATAACTCGTTTATTGCCTTGCATTTCTCTATGGTGAAACAAGGTTTTGGTAGAATTGTAAAAGTAGAGGGGGAATGGTGTGTGGAACAACTCAGGGGTTCTCAAGGTAAAGGTGCTTTTCCATCGTTTCTTATTGTATATCAGGTATCTCATGATTTTGGTTGGTTTGCCAACACCTGAAGCTATATGCTCTTGGTAAAATATTTCCAGACACATAGAATGGGAGTGAATGATGATCAATATTCACTACTGTAAGAATAAAATCAAGTTTTTAGAACGTTTATTGAATTTTCATTTTAATTATGTTTAAATTGTGAATTTCAATTGTAAATTTTTTGGCCATTCAAGAATAATATTATTGACCTTAAAATTAGTTTTATGACTATTCAAGACCAAACAGTAAAAAACATTGAAAAGTCAAGTTACACGTGTAGGCCAAATGGTTAAAAACACATTGAAAAACATTGAAAGCCGTGTTTACGCACAGTGGCTACATTAAGTGACTTTGAGAAATCTTTCAAAAAGCAACAAAATCAACGCTACAGGAGACATTACAATTGCTCATTTCACACTTGGCTCACCTTTTCAATTGTCTTCTATTATTTTATTTTTGAGCAACTTGATTCAAGTCAGGTTCATTCTAACTTCCGGTTGACATGATCATTGAGAAAGTGTTGTTGCGAGCGTCTGAGTTTTGATCTTGGAATCGCTGGTGTCTGTCAGTACCCTCACGTGGAGAGACTCAACTTTTTCAGGACATTAATCACACGCCTCTCAGATTTGTAAGTTAATTCTTTCTTTTTATCTTATATATTATATACATTATGTTTTATCAAGATTTAAATTACTTGTTTGTTTTCCTTTTTGCATAAATATACTCGTATTCTAATTTATTTAGTTATAATCACAAGCTATATTTTTACAAATTTAGCTATTGTTCTTTTTGTTCATGAGCATTCTATTGTTATTGATCACATACCGTTATTAAGAGTGCTAATAATCATACTTCGTATTATTGCTCTTATCTCATCTACTGTTTATGTGTTAAAATATTTTATTTAAGTTGACACTCAATTGTTTAAAGGTCTATTTCGTGTTAACATTTTGTAAGAAAATATACACAATATATAAATTTTGTTTTTACATTCTAAAGCAGCTGTGTGTTTTTTTTAAAAACGTTTTATTATTGAAAAAAAAACTAACAGTTAGAAAAAAAAAAAACTGTTACTGTTTTCCTAGAAAAAAACTGTTACTATTTTTCTGGAAAAAAAACAGTTTTCTGGAAAACAGTTTTTTTGGGGAAAAAAAAAACAGTTTTCTGAATTCTTCTGAAAAAAAAAAGACAATTTTTGGAAAACAGTTTTCTAAAAAAAAAACAATTTTTTGAATTTTTCTGAAAAACAGTTTCCTGGAAAAAAAAACAGTTTTCGTTGAAATTTTTTTTTGAATAGTAACAGAATCTATCTAAAGGAATCTACGGCAATAAAAAAAAACCAGTAGCTACTTGTTTTTGAAAAAGAAGATATAGTAACTTGCTTTGGGGAAAAAAAGTTAAAGTTTCAAGAGTTATTACAATAATTTAAACACCTTTCTTAATTTTGTTACAAATAGAGTTTGGCAGTTGACATTTAAATTCAATACAAGTTCTTTGCATATTTCTTATTATTTCTTTACCCTTGAATTCTAAATTTCTTTGCATATCTTTTATTATTTTTTTGCTTTTGAATTCTAAATTAAGGATGACTTGACTAGATGAAGTTAATAGTGTCAAACCTGAAAATTTTAGTGGTCAAAATTTTCGTAGGTGACAAAAACAAGTTCGATATTGGTTGACCGTACTAGACTTAATTTCTGCTATATAAGTGCCTCAACCTAATCAAGAGTTCTCTTCATGGTATACCCCTGAACAAATTAAATATTACTGTCATAATAGGATATTTAGTACTCTTTCTGACCATCTTTATGATGTCTACCATAATGTTACGACAACCGCTAAAGAGTTTTGGAACACTTTAGAGGCCGAGTATGAGATTGTTGATGCTGGAATTAAACGGTTTATGATATCTAATTTCAATAATTATAAAATAGCGGAGAATAAACCCGTTGGTGATCAAATTCATGAATATCAAGAATTTTTGAGGAAAATTAAAAAGGGTGGAATTGCATTTAATGAAGATTTTAAAGTTTCAAACTTAATTGACAAACTTCCATCTTTTTGGGATAATTTTGCTAAGACCCTTAGGCATAAGCAAGGAGAGTTAATCTTAACCCAATCTATAAACACATTTAAGGTTGAAAAGAAGCATAGGACTAGTACAAACTCACAAAATGAGAGACCCCTTAAGATAAACCTAGTGAAAAATAGTAACAACAACCATAATAATTTTCGACCTAGGGGAAGAAATTTTAAGAATAAGAGGTTTAATGGTCGTCCTAATAATGGTCAAAAACAAAACTATCAAAATAATAATAATAATAATAAGTTCAAGGGCTTTGGGAGAGAGAGGATGTCTTGTTTTTTTTGTGGACGAACCAATCACTTGGTTAAAGATTGCTACTACAAGAAGATTGAGCCGTATAAGCCAAAGCTCAAGCCAAATCAAAGAGGTCCAAGAGTCCAAGTCAATGTTCTAGTGGATGGAGATAATTCCGCCAAACCCTCCTCTAGGTATAATTGTTCCCTAGTTAATTTTACTTATCAAGATAAAGATTAATAGTTAGACTCTAGAGCTAATATACATGTTTACTTTGATCGTGATTTATTTAAATTTTATCAGAAATCAAGTGGAGGAAGTGTAAAGTTAGAAAATGATTCCGTCGCACAAGTACTTGGAATTGGAGATATAGAGTTAAAGATAACATATAGAAAGACAGTGATCTTCAAGGGAGTGCGACTTGTTCCTGAAGTTAGAAGAAATTTAGTCAGTGGGTCGTCCTTAGTCCAACAGGTTATAAGGTTGTAATGGAGTCAAATAAAGTTGTAACTTGTAATAACTAGGAATGATATATTTGTTGGCAAATGATATGTTTGTGATGGTTTTATTTAAATTGAATGTACTTTCGGAAGCTAATGAAATTTCTTATCAAGTTTTCAATGTTGAATCTTGCAATGTATGACATGGAAGATTATGACACATAAGTCTAAATAAAATCAAGAGGATGATGGATCTCAATCTTATTCCCAAATCTCATGTAGATTTTATGCATAACT